TCGACATGGAGCTTCTGACGGCTCTTGATATGAGCGTGCAGCTGGGAGGTCGAAGATCCCTGCATCAGCGCCATGGAGTGACGGTGCGACGCCAGGTGGATGTCCAGAAAGTTGGTGTGGTCGCAGCCAAGCACGTTGCAGACTGGATGCCAAGCTTCCTCCAGGCGATTTACCGTGTGATCCAATGACGCGTTCGCAGTGTGCTCCGCCAGGATTTGGTGTGTGGAGCGGGTGGCATGGTGCATGGCCAAGACACCGTCGAGGTCTGCGACACGTCGCTCTGGAGCAAAGAGGCAGAATGATCATTGGAATGATCGTTCTCGTCGCACACGAACTCTCTCGGAATGTCAAAGTCTGCACCGATCTCGGTTGGGTCCTCCGATCCGAGACCATACTTGATGGCTTCCCAGACGATCGTGTCGAAGCGCCTCACCTGCTCCAGAATAGAAGCATAGGCTTCCGCTGGCATGTATTTGGGAACGTCACGAGAGACCAGGCACACGGCAATATCAATGCAACTCGGGATGTATATCTCTGCATGGAATGGGCAGTAGCGTGAGGCGTTCTCACCCAGCACCTCGTGAAGGACCTCAAAGAACCCCTGGACCTTGTCATAGGCATCAAGAGGTCCTGATGAGGATCCACACCAAAGTAATAAGTGAGGTTCGCGTTGTGGGGTCTGTCTCTAGAGTTGATCAAGCCGGAGTAGTTGGAGAGGTTGGTCAGAACCAGAGACAAGGCCATCGATAAGTCTGCATGCGGCCCATACTCTTTGATCGGGTCAGGCCCTTCCGAAGCGATGTCCAGATCAGTCCACTCCTGATCACTGGTGGGGTCGCCCTTGAACTTGTGTGAGGTGCCTATATGGCAAGCCAGGCATAGCAGCACCGGCAGCAATTGCTTCATTATGTAATCTTAGATGGTGCGCATAGGGCGCCACAGATGTGGCTGAGCCTGGCGGCTGGTGGCGCTGGCGGCAAGCGAAGTTTCTGGTTCTGTCAGGATTTCCATCCTCTTTCAGCTACTCTTTAGAGGCAGACTGATCGGATACATCCTGCAAAGAACAACTCTCCTGCATCGACACCCTCGTGACTTTCAAACTTCGTCTCAGCTTGCTGCTCTGCAGAACTCGCTCCACCTTGCGAAGCCGAGCTGGCAACCTCCACAGCTTGTCTCGCGAATTCAACGAGGCGCAGCTGAAGCATGGATCCGGGTCCTGGCACGGGTTGGACTCTAGATGCTGGTAAAAAGCGAGCAAAGAAGCCTTCTTCCCCAGCTGAGAATGCAAGTGCCCCCTGCTTCCTAAGTCATGCTTGCTGCTTCTTTTTTCCTTGGTTGGTATACGGAGAGACGCATGTCATTGACCTTGTCTACCTTGAGGCTTACACTTCCAGCCTGACGTCTTAAACCTTGGCGGGTGAAAGGGGTATACCATGACCAAAGGCATCACGCTAATCGTCAGGAGACATGCAGTGGAGACTAAGCAGTCGTGACATTCAAGGAAATGCTAGGTACCTCGTCGGACATCAACATCATGAAGTCAAACCGCACCAAGTTAAAACTCGGTGACACATGATGCCAACAAAAGAAAACTGAAAAGAAACAGATTGAAAACTGTGGTGGTCCCCTGTAATTAGAACAGGACGTGCCCTGGAATATGAACCACCAGGACTCCACTTTCATGCCCCAATCGAGTTGGCGACCTCTACAGCTTGTGCGGCGAATTGGCAGACCCCAATGCTGTCGTAGAAAGATGACTGTCATAAGTTGACTGGAGCCCCCAGCCAGTGATAGTGACCATACGGGCCAATCGTGCTGATATTGGGGTCCTCTTATATTCCTACTTACCACTATTACAGGGTTGGAGGGGGTCCACGTAAGTCATAAGCTGCACCACAGAAGAGACTTGGGCCTGCACGGTTGACGCTGCTTTTCGAAATGCCTCTGGATCATATGTAGGGGGTCTGTAGTCATCCCTTTACGTTTAGGGGTTAAGGGTTTAGAGTTTGGGGTTTAGGGTTTAGGGCAAAGACTTGATATAGCCGGGGCACATATTGAACATTAGGGTGGGGGGGCGTTGTATATCAGTACTGTTGATACTTAAAATCTTGCACGACCCTAGAATGCTATAAAACCGTAGTTCCCAATGAATTAAAAGGTATGTAATGTAGGGACATGCAGGTTTTTTCAAGCAATGTTCCCTCTCAATAACCCCTACATACTCTCCCCTCAAGTTTAGACCCTCAACCCTAAACCCTATAGAAACAAATCTGTAAGGAGTTAAGACTATGACACCCTAAACCCTAAACCCGACTATAGCTCATATCAGTACAACCGGATTGTTTGTGGATGAATGAGCTGAGGCCGCTCCAGTTTACCGAGGCTTTGGAGGGTCAGAGGAACTTACTAAGTAGGTTAGGGTTTAAGGGCTACTGAAATTGATTACAACTCGATCCTAAATGCCTTAAACTGAGAACAGAGAACAATGGCTAACACAACCATACCCAACTTGATCCAGGTAGTCAGATAGTCAACCCTAAACCCTAAACCCTCCGATCTTCGGATCTCTGTCTTGACAAAATGGATGCAAAACCTCGATGCTCATTACAAGACACCTGCGAAGGCTTTGGAACTAGCAACACTCAGCTTACTGGCTTTTGGGAAGGAATAAGGGTTATAATCCCTGTATAATACCTGTATAATGTATTCCCTTTTTCCCTACCCTAAACCCTAAACCCTAACAATCCCTATATAAAATCTTCCCTTATTACTCCCTACCAACCCCAGCAACTCAGAATGAAATCGCAAACTTCCCACACCGCGGGTAGCCTTCAAGCCATGCGTCCTGGCCGAATCACGCGAAGCTTTCCTGTGCTTGCAGGGATGGTGGGTTGCGGGCTTAAGCCCGAAACCCTAAAACCCCAAACCCTAAACCCTAAGCCCAGGGTTTAGGGTTTAGGGTTCAGGGTTTAATTGGGGTTAAGGGCCAAGAGAAGTATTTTTTCTGAGGGTTCCAGGGCAGGGAACCCTAGCCTCTCTTCCTGTGAACGCCCAGCCCGCGGAGAAGCACATAAAGCAGAAGGAAAGTGAACCGGTTGGCACCTTTGAAGAGGCAAGCTTATCCTAAACCCTATTGGGTTTGTGGTGGATAGGCTTGAGGCTTTACGGGCCTAGGAGTTGGAAAGGTGGGGTTTGGGTTTCGGGTGTAGGCTAACAAATGCTGACGATATACTTCTGCTGTCTCTGGGATATACCCCATAATGGGACTGGGAGACTACCAGCAGATGCTTGGGTCGCAAGGAAGAAGCCCTAAACCCTAAACCCTAAAGGGTTTCAGTGCAATCACGACAAGGCTTTCGTTGAACTGGCCAAGTAAGTTATAATGCCAGAAAATCCAGGCACATACGCTCCCCCAAGCTAACTTGGAACTCCATAACAAGCACTGTTTAAGAGGTCGCAGTCCCATGTCAATTTTGGGGCCGGGCACCTTGAGGAGAGGTTATGGGTGTACGTTCAATGTTTAAGTTTAGGGTTTAGGGCTTAGGGTTTGGTTCAGGGTTTAGGCTTAAGGATTTGAGGAACCTAAACTTCCCCAAGCGGGTGCTGAATTATGTGGACTACAATCCTCTTGAAAAGGATTGAAAAGGAGCCAAATGGATTTCATCTTAGTTTGGGGGAGGGTTTATTTGAAGGTATGAAGTGTTGGCAGTTCAGGTCTTGGAGCAGTATAGGTTCCAGGGTTTGATGGGGGGCATGCTCTTGTTGTTTAAACAACTGTTGCCTTGGAGTTAAATGAAACACAGCCTTTATAGAGTCTCCTCTGAATTTGTCTCTTGGTTGCGTGCTTCTTAGTCCGGGTGCGGAATGTGGCGACCCTCTTAGCCATCGTTGCTTTGTTACCCAGGTGTTGTAGGCGTTCTCGCTTTTGGGCCCCGGAGTGCTTTTAGAGTCTTATATTGGTGCCTTTTCAAGGACCACTGCTTGAGAACGGCCATGCGACGCTGAATCCTGAACCCCAAATGAGTAGTATTTTGAGGGGACCATAATATGTTATGAGAACCATACGATCTTACTTGGCTCAACTAACCATTGGCGCAAATCAGCAGCTCCCAGGTCGAAAAGGTAAATCTCGGTTGAATTAGCTCTCCGCCTACCCACCGAGGATCATGACACGCCTATGAAAAAAGGGTTCTGGGTGAACAAGAATGTCTGCCTGGGAATGCTGGGGTTGCATGTACTAGTGTATAGAGGAATTTACAAAGTTTATGCTGCTGAAGGAGGATGCATCTATACTTCACGATGCTTGGAGTCTAGGTAAGCGCTACTACATCGAGGAGTTGGGGTAGGCAGGGCAGGCCCCTAAGCGCTCAAAGCTGTAATCATTCAACCCCAAACCCTTAACTCCAAACCCTGAAACCCAAGCTCAAAGCCCTCGAAGGCCCGGAAGTGGTGTCTCAAGCACGGCAACGGCTGCGTTGGCATTTTTGACGTTGCCTGGCATGGTTGGGAGTTCCGGGCTCGGGTTTAAGGTTGTTTAGGGTTCAGGGCTCAGGGTTGTTTAGGCTTTGGGGTTCAAAGTTGTTTAGGGTCGCTGGTTTAGGGCTGTTTAGGGTTTATAGGGTTTGGGTGCAGGTCTGAGAAGGGTTGTGGGTTTAGGGTTGTTTAGGTTTTAGTGTGTTGGGATGTTGGGGTGAATTTACGTTTATGGTGCGAGGTTGTTTGGGGGTTCCGCGTTAGGGATGGGGTTAGGGTTTGGGAATACTAGTAGGTCCAGTGGGCCCTTTGGGTCTGGGTCTTGGGCATGTTGCATCAAGCCAGAGTTCATTCCCATGTATGTTCGAAATAGGCAGGCATGGGTGGACTCACGATTCAGGTGGTAAGTCTAGAATTGTTGAACTTGCAATCTCTCGCGCGCACAGTGTACATCGACTTTTGGGTCACCTTAAAGCCAATACAAGAACCCTACACTTTAGAAATGTGCACCTTTATAGTTGGAGCTTGGGAGCCTTGATCTTGGCGCTAGGGCCACCCGCTTTGCTACGACATGTTACACGCACGCCGAATGAAGCCTTCCTGAACTCTGTAATCCCCCTCCCTCCGAGGTATTCCAATCCCCGAGTAAGTCATCTTGATATATTGGGATTTTTGATTAGGGCTCATTGTTCAGGGAGGGATTAGAAGCAAAGCGTCCCTTAGATCAGGAGGCTACGACTTGGTTAGGCGCTTGACAAGTTGGCCCGTGGGGCCTGGTACAGACAGGGTGGCCTTCCCGGATGATTGCTCAGTTGCAAGTGAGGTAGGCTAGAGGTATAGGCCCCCTTAAGTAGATAGACGGCTTTGAGTATATCATACTAAGATCCCCATATAACCTATATTCTATTTACTTAACCTAGTTATGGTCATAAGTCTGAGACCTGGCTGTGCGACCTCGGAGCCAAGCCTTTATAATCAGAGCACTGTCTAAATCCTAAACCCTCCTAAGCCCCCGACAAGCATTTCAACCCTTAGGAGAAGTGCGATGGCAGCGGCTATGTGCTTGTTACGAACATCACGATAAGCCCTGGCCTGAGCTGAGAAATTGGGGCTTAGGGTTTCGGGTTTAGGGTTAATGTTTGTCGTACCGTTCCATGAGGGAACATACAGGCCCCTTCAGTCAGCAAAAGTGCATAGCAAACTCTAAGGCTCCGCTGAGAAGTATGTTCAGAACCATATTGTCTGTACTCTGGCCGTGCTGCTGGAACAACAGCGGAACAGCTGCCGGAATTCCTTCACGTTTTGGTGGCTGGGGTGGTAGTCCAATCCTCATAATTTTGGAGGGTTATAACTAGTTTCCGGGGTACGTCTATGAAATCCTCATGAAGGACTCCTAAAGCTAGCCCCTTTGTAATCCTCACATATCCCTCAGG